GTGTGTGTGTGTGTGTGTGTGTGTGTGTGTGTGTGTGTGTGTGTGTGTGAACATTTCGTGTTTAGAAATCCAAGCATTTCTTGAAAGTATTTGGAAAGGAAGCTGCGAGTTCAACACTCATAGTTTGAAGGAAATGTTCGATGCACAACTTTCTTTTACTCATTTAATGTGAAATAGTTGAGAAACCACTGAATTTGTTAAGGGTAAAACTTCCTCATTTTTGTCTTTTTTTTTTTTTTTCCCCACCTTGTCCCCCTGGCTTTCGTAAAGCAATCCCAGTAGACAGCAAATTTTACTCTGGGAAGGGCTTCAGCTTAAAACTCGAAGACAACAGAGCATTTCTGTAAAACGAAAATCCAGAGGCTGTTGGCAGGTTATTGTCAAGTGACCCAAGGCTGAGGAAGAAAATGTGTAGAGGGAAATTAATCAGAAACACACACCTGGAAATTAGGTACCGGAGGCAATAAAGCAGAAGGAATTAAAAAACAACACTTAATATGCGCCGGTAGAGTCTTTCTCCATGCTGAAGGCAGTAATTGGTAGTTTGAGCAAGAAAGCTATTTAGGTACAGACATATCTAGAGATCAGTTTAAGGAGGACCCTGAAAGTAACTAAGTAATCACAAGTAACTAAGTAGTAATTATGTGGGAAACCACAGAGAAAAACAGGGAGTTCACTATTATATTTTCTGGAAGAGATATTCACTTAGGTAAACAAACAAACAAACAAACAAACAAACAAAACCAACCTCTGCTCTCAAATCTATAATTGCTTGGTGAAGAAGGGGGCACAATATTTATTTTTCTATATTGCTTTTTTAAATATTGAAATTATGTTGAATTCTGAGTTGCATGTTCTCTGTTTTTACTTACTGAGTCCTTCTTATTAGTCAAATAACCAAATGATTGAGAGAGTTATCCATGTCCATATACATGAGACAAAAGTTCTGTTTTCGTGGCTCTAGTTCTCAGCTGCAGCTGAGTGGAGCTTGGTTCAGTACATCTAATAAGGAATGGGCAAACATCCCTGAAAATATTTCCTTGATATTCTGAAACAACTTCTAGTTTAAAAAAAAAAAAAGCCCAAATAGGTAACTGAAATATAGGCATTTCTGGATTCTAAAATCCTGACATCTCTAGAGGAACTAGCATTTGATTATATCACCCCTTGGCCTATTGGCAAAGATCAAGTGCAGAATTTGACTGTATACTACTTCCTGCCAATGTGTCTTTCCCAAAAATATTAGCCTAGCTTTTAATTTACTTTTGTGTTGAAAAGCTAAATTGAGTATTATTAAGTAGTTTCATTTCTGCATCTGTGACAAAAAAGCAACTTAGCGGAGAAAGAATTTATTTATTATTATTATTATTATTATTATTATTATTATTATTATTATTATTTTGGTTAACAATTCTAGATCCATCTTTTCAGGGAAGTTGCCTCATCAGAAGCTTGAATCAGCTTGTCCCATAGCATCGATAGTCAAAAGCAGAGAGAAACGAATGCATTTATGCTCACTTGTTTGATTGTGTAAAGCTTTAATTCCATGTTCTTATACAGTGCAGGAGCCTCTGTCTAGAGAATGGTACCACCCACAGTAGGCTGTGTCTGTGTCCACCCACTGTGGACAATCCGTCACTGAGATTCTCTTCCTGGGTGATTCTTGGTTGTGTCAGGTTAACCATCAAAGCTGACCATCGCAATCAACAACTGTCCACTAGCTCACAGAATAAATTACTTTTCTTTTAACTATCTATAATTATTCTCTACTTTTAGAAGGTCTTCAAAACTTTAATAAGTAGAGACTGTCTTTTGAAAAATTTCACAGCACTCCACATTATTCAAGTTAACAGATTCCCCAAATGTCAATTGTGAGCAGGCTTTTCTCCATCAGAATGTAGGAAAACATGGATCTTCTTGCCACTTGAAGAACAGTTGTCTGTTTGGTAGCCAGTCTCCATGCAGGTATTCAGTTGATGAAGCCTAGCAGTTGTAAACACACACACACACACACACACACACACTACAAAGTCCATAGGAATCATTTATCTTGAGCTTCTATGTGATTAGTAATCTCTTTTTTGTGAACACTGGAAAAGCAGAAAACAAGTGGAACGTGAATTATCATGGGCAGGAAGAACTAAGTATTATGAGGTTTTATTATTATTATTATTATTATTATTATTATTATTATTATTATTACATTCTGGGAGATTGATCCTTCTAAAACATAGTTTGCTAAATATGAAACCAGTAGAAAACACACCCACAGCAGCAAGGAAAGCACAGGAGATTTGGGTTCAAAGTGGCCTGGCTATACTTAGTTTCCTCCATGACTTGAAACCACTGTTAAGCTCCAGGAGATTTCCTGTAAGAACCCGACTTCCTGTTGCTCCTAAAGAATTAAGCCCTGTCTCCCTTGAACCTTGTACTCTTGAGTGCCCATGCAGAAGGCCAACATGCACTTTACATTCTTGATGTAGAAATGAAAATTTGGCCATTGATTCACTGACTTATGAGCATCCTTACCACTGTGTGATGGGGTTTGGTTTATTGATGTAAAGAAGATGTAGTCTTTGCCCTCAAGAGGCTGTTAGATTACATGAGAGTATACACATGGCTTCAAATAATGGATGCTGCAATAGAAGCAAATATTTGAGGCAACATAGGTTTGAAATGGATGCTGGAGAAGCTTAGGTTCATGTGACCTCTCCAGGCAGGGGAGGGGCATTTCAAGGAAAAGAAGTGGGGCATGTGAAAGGCAGCATGGTTAGAGGAAGGAAGAATCATTTATCCACCATGATTTTGTGCTTTTCTATGTATTTATATGTGAATGGTTGATATACCGTCTCCAGCATCATCAGTGTAGCATATCAATAGATTGTGCTACTAGACAGGAGATACATTTTTCTCGGGAATAGGCTTCCTGGAGGTCCCTGGCAATGTGTTCCTCCTGGCCACCTAAGCCAAAAAGACGTATTCTGAGAGTCCCATGCTTCCTTGATTGCAGGGTTGGATTGATGAGCTTTTTTGCTGTTTCCCTATGATTCTTGGAACAGCACAATTAACTATTCAAGGAAACACATTTCTGATAGATTACTAAAAGCTTTAGCAAAAAAGAGTGGAAGGAAAATAAAATTTTAGGAGAGGTAATAAATCAGATTCAGTATCAGGAATTGCTTGTGGAAAAACCAAACATTGTAGGTAATAAAGGGGCAAGAGTTTTAGGTCTTTCTAAAGAAAATATTTAATCAGGATCTGTCAAGATGAATGCTCTGGATATTCCCACTGCAGTAAAACTACTACAAAACCATTACCAAACACAGGTGTTTATGATGAGGCAGAAAGAAGATAGGCAAACACAGGAGGTCAGAAGGTTTTATATTATACTATGAGTTTTAGCTCAAGCATCCTATCTCTAAAGGAAGATTGTAAATCCTTAGCAAGACAAACAGGAGGAATTTCCCTCAATGCTTATCTCTAGGGAGGGTTGTAAATCTTTAGCCGACTTGGCTCGGAGGGCAATGACAGCCCCTGGCCTTCTCCTCACTAATCAGTAGCGATAAAACTTCGAGTTTAAAGCTTTGTATTTGCTTTGATTAAAAGCTTTTAGGCCAAGATTTTTTGTAGACACTGCTTTATATCAGGTTGCCCTTTCAGTTAAAATATAAACTTTGTATTGTTGGTAAAAGTCTGAATGTTCCAGGAAGTATGTCAACCTCAAAGTGCTTCTTTATGTAATCACTATATAAGTGTTAGCTTGACTTCAGTAAATCGCAGCAGATTCAAACACTTTCTGGTGTGCACATCTGTCTGTCAAATCCGCCTAACCTGTGTCTACCTGATATCCAACCTCTGATTTTCCCACGGGTGTGGGACCCTGGCTGGGTCGGTCTGTGGCATATGGTCCTTTGTAAGATTTTTATTTTTTATTTAAAATATTAGTTACAGTTTATTAACTTTGTATCCCAGCTGTAGCCCACTCCCTCATTCCCTCCCAATCCCACCCTCCCTTTCTCCTTTCCTCCCTGCCCCTTTGCAAATCCACAAATAGGTCCCCTCCACTTCCATCTTACCCTAGCTTATCAGGTTTCTTCAGGACTGGCTGCAATGTCCACCTCTGTGGCCTAGCAAGACTGCTCCTTCCTCAGGGGAGGGGGTCAAAGAGCCAGCCATTGAGTTCATGTAAGAAATAGTCCCTGTTCCCCTTACTAGTGAACCCATTTGGATACTGGGTTACCATGGGCTACATCTGAGCAGGGGTTCTCCGTGAACAAGGAAATCACGAAATTTGCAGGCAAATGGTGGGATCTAAAAAAAAAAGAAAAAATCATCCTGAATGAGGTATCCCAGAAGCAAAAAGACACACACAGTATATACTCACTTATAAGTCATTACTAGACCTATAAGACAGGATAAACATACTAAAATCTGTACACCTAAAGAAGGTAAACAAGAAGGAGGACCCTGGGTAAGATGATCAATCCTCGCTTAGAAAGACAAAAGGGATGGACATTGGAAGTAGGAGAAAACAAGTAACAGGACAGGAGCCTACCACAGAGGGTCTCTGAAAGACTCTACCTAGCAGTGTATCAAAGCAGATAATGAGACTCATAACCAAACCTTGGGCAGAGTGCAGGGAATCATATGAAAGAAGGGGAGTTAGTATGACCTGGAGAGGACAGGAGCTCCACAAGGACCTAATAAATCTGGACACAGGAGTCTTTTATGAGACCGTATTTCCAACCTTTGTAAGATTTTTATAGATAAGTTGAGAATAGGCTCTGTTGTTTTTCAGGACGGCTTCACACCACTTTTGCTGGCACTCAGAGAAAAGAGGACAGAGGTGGCAGAGTTTTTAGTGAAGAACGGAGCAGATATTCATGTTGTAGATGACATGCAAAGGTAAAGTCATTTGAATTAAAAAAAAATTAAACCTTGGCGGTATTCTGGACTCAGCGACATGGCTTGTTGGGAGAAGAGGATTAGCTTACAAGGACACAGTGAAACAGACTTAGGCATCAGTTTAGTTTGTTAAGGAAGAAAAATGATTGCTTAAGCAATATAAATTATATATATATATATTTTAAACAATATAAATTATATATATAAAGTGGGTCACATTGCCTTAAAGTAGTGACTGAAGATTGTTATTTGCAATCTGATATTGTTGGTCATATGATCTTAAAAGTTTATTAAGTAAATGAGTTTCATTTGTGTCCAAAATGTATTTACTTTTAGTATGATTTTTTTTTTTGATTCACAAACAACAAAACTGTTAACCATCTTAAGGTATTTCCTTTTTTTAAATTTTTAATATTTTCTTTTCAGTTACTCATTTTTATTTAAATTATTTTTTGTGACTCTTTGAGAATTTAATGTGATCTGTTTTGATCATGTTCACCTCATTGTTTCCCTTCACTTGTGTCTATTTTTTCCCCTACCTTTCTATCCCAACTTCATGTCCTCTTTTTTTTTTTTTAATTATTTTTATTTAGTTTTTTAACACTTTCACTCTGGTTGGTGTTATCCATGTGCTTCTGCTTGTGGTGCCTTCCCCTGGAGCTTGGCTGACTTATCATGAGCCACACTCTTAAAGTTATCTGCTTCTCCCTCCCCTAGAAGCCATCAACTGTCAATAGTTCCTTAACTAGGACTAGGGACTCCTACATCCTTCCCTGTTGACTGGCTTGACTGTGCACAGGCAAACCACAGCTACTCTGAGTAGATGAGCACAGCAGTCCTGCCATGCCCAGAAGACACTGCTTTGCTCCTCTCCTCCCCAACCTTTGGCTCTCACAACCTTCCTTTCCCTTCTTCCTTTTGCCCCCTCCCTGAGCATTGAGGAAACGGCATCATTTAGATGTCCCATTTATGGCACTTTGACCAGTTATGGGTTTCTGCATCAACCACCATTTATTCCACAAGAAAACTCTAGTGAGCTCTCAGATATCGGATAGTATTTTCACATTTCCTTCTTGTACACTTTAAGATTCTATATTCAGTCCAATAGGATTTGAAAATTACGGTGTGTGGGATGACTATTTAAATTTCTTTTTTTTTTGTAGAATATTGATAACAGGTTATCCTTAAGTGACTATTATTTGTTATTACTAAGTCTTCATTTTACCCTTTACCTCCTTGATTTATTTTAATCCATTTATATTTACTTGACAATGGAAGTGAGATAAAATAGTGTAAATTAAATTAACTTTAACGAAGATAAGTTGTAAGTGAGTGATGAAAGAGGAGACTTCAGATTCATTCAAGACCAAATTTAATTCTCAGTTTTCCCAGTTGCTAGGTATAACATCTTCAGAATGATGCTCTTAGTCAAATATATCCTCTGATATAAAACAAAGGCTAACACACTTGATAAATTGTTATAGGATTATTTACATAGCATGTAGTTTAGTATATGATCAATATCATTAATTGAAAGGACTATCAATTTTATTATTATTCTTATGTTCATATTATTCATATATTCAAATCATGCAACAGCTTTGAATTATTTCATCTTGACCTTATTAATCAATGTAGTATATGTTATGTGTTCTATTAGGTTAGGGTAATATGAACTTTTACTTAACTATTTCAGGTACATGGCCTGAGTATAGATATTTTCTTTCAAAGGGTATGAAGTCAGGAGTTTCACTTCGAAGTAGACAATGGGAAAAAAGATTTCCTGTATATGCCCTACTTTATACTGGGATACAGCCTCACAAAGGGGAACAGTTATGATTCCATGATGCTATGGCTGTTGGTAAATGGTAGATTCAACATAGCCAGACAAGGCGTTAAGTTGGTAAAACACATCTATGTTGATTTAGCTAATTTCACCCATTTCCTAATAGTGAATCTCTGCATCTGCTGTTTTAGAAACACCTTGATGTATGCTATAAGATGTGGATCAAAAGAAATGGCCACATTACTCCTTGAGGAAGGTATTGATTTCCTATACAAGGATGTCTTTGGCTGGACGGCATTACGCTACGCTATTGAAGGCCATTGTACTTTGTAAGTATTTCTATTAACATGTTAAGTGAAATTATGTTGAAGTTCAAAAACCAGATACAACTATTGCATCATCCAGTTGGGGTGACACTGCACTGTGCAGGTAGTTTCAGAATGTCAATGACTTAGTCCACCTAGCCAATCAGGAATCAAGTAAAATAGCTAGGAACAGCACTGGGCATGGGATGCTTAAGTTATGGACTTGTTTTGGTGAATGCTGAACATTAAACCCAACACCTCACGTGTGCTAGGCAAGTCTTCTTTTCATTTTACTGTACCTCAAGCTAAGACAGTTAAAAACCTTTAACCTTAAGGATCTCAGCATTTTCCATATTATGCCCATATATAACTCCTAAAAATAAAGTATAAATAGTATCTATCATATTTTTGATCTTTTAAATTCACTGTGGAATGTTCAGTCAGATATTGAAATGCCCATTTTAGCAAACAATCGTGTTGCTTTCCTGTGGGCGCTGTCTTCTGTGCCCCACTCCTTGACTCAGTCTCCAAGTGGGTTCCCTAATAATGGGAACAGGACCGGTGTCTGACATGAACACAGTGGCTGGCTCTTTGATCACCTCCCCCTGAGGGGGGAGCAGCCTTACCAGGCCACAGAGGAAGACAATGCAGCCAGTCCTGATGAGACCTGCTAGGCTAAGGTCAGATGGAAGGGTAGGAGGACCTCCCCCATCAGTGGAGTCGGGGAGGGGGAGGGGAGGAGAACAAGGAGGGTGGGATTGGGAGGGAATGTGGGAGAGGGCTACAGTGGGGATACAAACTAAATAAACTGTAATTAATAAAAAAAATAAAATTTAAAAAGTCTATAATTAAAGAAGAAAAAACTCAAGTTAAAGGGGCATGAAGTGAGAGAAACAAAGCTTAAGGTATAGAATGGATCATCTCGATAAGCAGTGATGTGCCCTGATGTCATAAGACATCCTCACTCCCTGACTAACAGCACGTGGCTACTGCACAAGTTCTTTCCCATAGATAAGTGTTTTCTAAACAAACAAACAAACAAACAAACAAACAAACAAAAATTTTACTGTTTGAGTTCAGTAGGTTTCTTTTAAGATTTTATTTGATAGTATTAAAACATATGCAGGGAAATATCAAAGCAGCAAGAGTGTCCTGATGCTGAGCTTTTTTAAAACCCCAAATCAAGCCTAATGTATTTCTTTGCACTGACTAAATTTTAAGTATTACAGCTACTTAGAAAATGGGATGCCCTCGTTTTGGTCATTGGCTATTCTGTTTTGTGACTTGTAATTCAGAGACATGAGTTGTTTAACAATTTGAAGCTAAGTACTTTATGATATAGTACCTTCTTAATTAAACTACCGCTCACTATTACCAAAATAATCAGTCACACTGAGGGCAGAAAGGGAATCCATTCCAAGGTCTGGCTTTGCTCTTCTCTTCTTCTTCCCCTGCCTATTTTAAATTATCACATTTACCGTCATATGACTCATATAACAAAACCCTCCTTTATATATAGCTACGATTTTGTTTGCTTAACTCCTACTGTTCTTTGGATCCAGAGACAGGCTTAGTTGCTTCTTTGTGGGGAAAATTTTTTAAAAATCTATGTAAACATGAGACCAGGATTGAAATAATTTGGAAAATTTTTACTACTATAGACAAGAGAGAGACAGAATGGATTTCAGTTGGGTGTCTACCCAAGAATAAAATCAACAGCAATCCTAAACAGGTGGATATAGGGCATCCTAGCACCCAGGAAAGGGTACCCAAAGGACACCATGGGACCTGATGGACAGATTTAGTATTAATAATAAAAAACTCATGTTTTTCTGCAACATATGCACTTTTATAGAGTTTATATTTGTCAGCAAAAATGATATACAAATTTCTTAATGTGAACTGACCACAAAGATCTAAGCTAATGTGTGAGTCCTGTCTGAGATTCTAAATGTGTACAAAGGGTCAGATTGCTAATGATGTATGTGACCAAAGCAAGAAAGTCCAAATGCCAAAAGATAGTGTGTTGCTTTGAGAATAATAGCTGAATAATAAAAACTAAATACACGTGACTTTAAGATGTTGTAAGGTCTGACCATATGTTGTCTTAAGGTCTTAGAGGTCTGGTTCAGCGAGGACAACAAGGTAGATTAACGGCTGTTGAATTTCAGAGCATGTTTTAATAGTGCCAGAACCAACAGAAATAAAGAATTACAGGGTAGCCCTTTTCTTATGCTTCATCTGGCTTTTCTATGAGAACTAGGTTCCTTGGACCTAAGAAATCCCTTTAGCTGCTGGAGTATCAGTCTCAGAAAAACAAACAACCAACCAGAAAACAAAACAAAACAAAACAACAACAAACAACCTGTGCCCAGATTTTTTGCTTCTGTTGCTCTCCTTGTGGAGCTTCTGTCCCCTCCAGCTCTTTCTATCTCCCCCTTCTTTCACAAGACTCCCTGCACTCTGCCCAAAGTTTGGCTATGAGTCTCAGCATCTGTTTTGATATCCTGCTGGGTAGAGTCTTTCAGAATCTCTCTGTGGTAGGCTCCTGTCCTGTTCCCTGTTCTCTCCCTCTTCCAATTTTCTTCCTGTTTGCCTTTTTGAGTAAAGATTGATCATCTTACCCTGGATCCTCCTCCTTGCTTAGCTTCTTTAGGTGTACAAATTTTGGTATGTTTATCCTATATTATATGACAAATATCCTCTTAAAAGTGAGTATATACCCTGTGTGTCTTTCTGCTGCTGGGATACCTTACTTTTCTAGTTCTTACCATTTGCCTGCAAATTTCATGATTTCCTTGTTTTTAATTGCTGAGTAGTATTCCATTGTGTAAATATACCACAATTTCTGTATCCATTCCTCAGTTGAGCGGCATCTGGGTTGTTTCCAGGTTCTGGCTATTATGAATAAAACTGCTACAAACGTGGTTGAGCAAATGTCCTTGTTGTGTACTTGAGCATATTTTGGATATATGCCTAGGAGTGGTATAGCTAGATCTTGATTGTTCTTCAGGGAGATGAGGGAGGTCCACCGGTTCAAGAGTATTGTGGGTGTTTCAGCTGTACCCAAGGGAAGAAGATCACAGGCACACATGCACAACGATGGAAGTGTGCATGGAAGTGTGCCTTGAAGGAGAGGGTGTTAGAACTGTAGATGCCTGGAAGGGTGGAGCGTAAGTACTTGTGGGGTGCTGGCCCCATTTGCGGGTGCAATGCGCATGCACTGGTACCCAGAATGCCTCAGTGGCCCACAGGCCTGTCATACTGTCCTCTAGGTATTCAGATCTTTCTGGGTTGCACCATCGTGGCTCTAGGAATTGTTTGCCTGGACTCCACTGGGAGACCCACAGAACAGGGGCTTCAATGTTGAGAATGCTGTTCCAAGGATACCTATGTTGTTCACAGTGGGAGTGTGGGTGGGAGGGACCCGATGTCTTGCTGCTAGTGCAGAGGGACCCTGGATCTGGGGCTCTGCATGCACTCACTTGAAGGCACCCTCACTCACTGATAGGCCTATTCGGAAAGCACAGTGGTTCCCCCTGTTCTCTACTCTCAGGTTTGGGCCTGCAGGAGCAAATGAGAATGTAGGTGATCAGGCAGCTCAGTGGTGTCCACTGTTTGGCCACTGGGCAGGGAGACCTGTAATCGGGGCAGCAGCCTCTGCTGTCTCAGTCACTCGACATGGAGACTCCTGCTTGGGCTAGCCACCACCCCTACGCAGCCGCAGATCTGGGAGTCCTGTACAGCAGACCACTGAAGCTGCAGTCCTGGGAGTCCCCTTCATTATAGACTTAATCACAAGATTTAGAGCCCATACATTTCAAACCACTGCAAAAACTTCTGGTTGTGCCTCTGTTTTCAGTGACGGTCTTTATTTAGAGTCAGGGTCTCATGTACCAGGGGAGACCTTGAACTCACTATGTGTCTGAGGATGACTTTGGATCAGCTGATCTCTCTGTCCCCACCTTCCAAATGCTGTGACTACAGGTGTGTGCCACCACCGTGCTTGGTTACGTGTGAAGTTGGGAATGGAACCAAGGCTTGGTGTATGCTAGACAGTCACTTGCCAGTGGAGTACACCCCCAGCCCCTGGATCATCCTTAAGGATTAAATATACTAAAAATGTTTTAAAAAAGGTATTAAACAGTAATTGTTCCTATTATTTTTTCATATGATAGTAGACAGATACTTTTGGATTTTGAAGAAAAAATGCACAATAACAAAAAAGATAACAAACCAGGTAAGGCTTATGATGAATTGTTCTTTGTGGTCCTACCATAACCAAAAGTGTCAAACTAAGAACGTTTTCATTCAAAAAGACCAGAAAAATATATTTGTATTTTCTTAGGTCCTTTCTGAATAGTCTATGGGTCAGAATGATCTCAGACATTACTTACATGAAAGCTACAATCGGAAGTGTGACCTTGTCTCCAAAAATCATGTGGAGAGTCATTAAGGAAGACCCGTAATAACGACTTCTGTACTACACATGCATGTGAACACATGTGCACAAACAACCTTCATCCCCATGAACATATGCATGGAGGGAGAGAGAGAGAGAGACAGAGAGACAGAGAGAGAGGCAGAGAGACAGAGAGACTGAGACAGAGAGACAGAGAGAAGAGAGAAAGAAAACAAAACTAATCAAAACTTGTATTTTTGGGGGTACTAGAAATTGAACCCAAGACCTCCTGCATTTTAGGTAAGTGCTGCATAATTTGTTTTACCTCCAGCCTTTCCCACCCGCTACTGTTTCTGCTCATCATCAGAAGCTATGACATAATTTGCATGTTAAAAAGTTTAATTTATATGTTTAAAAAATTAAACTAATATTATTTTCATGTTTGTGAAAACATACTCTGGACATGCACCTGGAGATCAGAAGACAGTTTTGAGGTGGTAGTTCTCTTCTTCTACTCTTTCATGAGTGGCCAGGCTTGCATGGCGAGGTGACATTGCCTAATGAGCCATCTCACTGCCCTCTAAAGCTATTATAAAAATGATTTTACTTTAAACACAGACGGGTGTTGGATTTTGTCAAACACTTTTTGGCATCTAAAGAGATGATCATGTGTTTTTTTTTTTCTTTCAGTTTGTTTATATAGTGGATTACATTGATGGATTTCTGTATATTGAACCACCCCTGCATGTCTGGGATGAAGCCTACTTGGTTGTGGTAGATGATATCTTTAATGTGTTCTTGGATTCAGTTTGCGAGCATTTTTGCATCAATGTTCATAAGTGAGATTGATCTGAAGTTCTCTTTGTTGGGTCTTTGTGTGGTTTAGGTATCAAGGTGACTGTAGCCTCATAGAGTGAGGTTGGTAACATTTCTTTTGTTTCTATTTTGTGGAATAGTTTGAAGAGTATTGATGTTAGCTCTTCTTAGAAGATCTGGTAGAATTCTATGCTGAAACCTTCTGACTCTGGGCTTTTTTTAGATGGGAGATTTTGATGACAGCTTCTATTTCCATAAAGGATATAGGAATATTTAATTTATTTACCTGTTCTTGATTCAGCTTTGGTAAATGGAATCTATCAAGAAAATTGTCCGTTTCATTTAGATTTTCAAATTTTGTTGCATATAGGCTTTTGAAGTAGGACCTAATGATTCTTTGGATTTCCTCAGTGTCTGTTGTTATGTCTCCCTTTTCATTTCTGATTTTGTTGATTTGGATAGTGCTGGTGGAGGCAAGAAGTGGGCATCAGATCTCCTGGAACTGGAGTTGTAGACAATTGTGAACACCGATGTGAGTGCTGGGAATTGGCTCTCTGCCAGAGCAGTTAAGTGCTTTTAACCCCTAAACCATCTCTCTAACCCCCAAGCTCTGTCCTTATAGCAATCTGCTACCTAATAAGAGAGTTTGAGAGACATGACATCGTACTTCTACTGGTAGCAGAGATTGGATAACCATGTTCTATTCAGTTCAAATAGACTCTTAAGAATTATGTCTTCCCAGGCAATATACAGCCACCCCAGTTTTTTTTTTTAAATGTGTTTCTACATTAGGTACAGCTCAAAATGGATACATTCTCAAGGAACAGACTTACTAAATTTTCCACTGAAAGAAGAATGTTAGATGAATTTTTTTTTTTTTTTTGAGGACAATTCATGCTGATTTTTAATCTGGTTGTAATAGTTTACAAAGTCACCATCTGTAAAGAAGGAGGTTTCCTCTGTCTGCATAGCCACTGCTGGCATATGTGAACATTGTTATTTATTTATTTATTACAATTTATTCACTTTGTACCCCTCTCCCTCTTCTAGTTCCACACACCCTTCCTCCTTCCTCCATATGCCCCTCCCCTAGTCCCCTGATAGGGGAGGACTTCCTCCCCTTCTCTCTGACCCTAGCCTATCAGGTCTCATCAGGGCTGGCTGTGTGGCCTAGCAAGGCTGCAACTCCTCCCCACTAGGGGGAGTGAATCAAGAGCCACCCACTGAGTTCATGTCAGAGACTGACCCTGATCTCCTTGCTAGGAAGGAGACTTAGAAACTGAGCAGCTTATGGGCTTCCTCTGAGCAGGGGTTCTTAGTCCTCTCCATGCATGGTCCTTGGTTGGGGTATTGGTCTCTGTAGGACCCCCTGGGCCCAGGTTTTTTGGCCCTGTTGGACTCCTTGTGGAATTCCTGTCCCCTCTAGGTCTTTCTATCTACCTCTTCTTCCATAAGGTTTCCTGCACTCTGCCCAAAGTTTGGCCATGAGTCTTCAATACCTTGGTGGGTAAAGTCTTTCAGAGGATCCCTCTGGGAGGCTCCTGTCCTGTTCCTTGTCTTCTCCTACTTCTGATGTCTATCCTGTTTGCCCTTCTGAGTGAGGTTTCAGCCTCTTTGCTAGGGTCCTTGTTGTTTAGCGTCTTTAGGACTATAGATTTTAGTGTGTTTATCCTATATTATATGGCTAATATCCACTTACAAGTGAGTATATACCATATATGAACTTTGTTTCACAGATAAGAACAAGAAAATAGCTTTTACAGAGAAAGCATATGGTATCTTCTTTATAAAAAGGGTTAGCTAGAACAAGTATGACACTGGTGACTCTTGAACTCTTCATTAGAATTTGGAAAGTCTTTGCAAGGCACTTGTTCCTGGTCTGCTGTTGTGTTTTGAATCTTTCCCCTGCAGGGTGCGGTGTCCACAGGTAAGTATCAATGAGATAGTATATTCACCCTAAACTGAAAAATTAACTGACTACTTGAAAAAAAAATCTTTTCTGTTACTACAAAATAAACATATTCTCTTAGTAGATGATATTAGGAGTGTTCAGGGTTGTATGGCCGTAACATATATATATATATATATATATATATATATATATATATATATATATATTATAATATTTCCTTGTTAATGTTCCTTATGCTGTTAGTCCAGATATATCAAGTGGTTTGCTTGACAAAATAATAAGAATAATTTATAATATGATGATACCATCTTAAGTTAGTCTCATACTAGTTATATTATGGCTATTATATCAAACGTTTTACTTTTCATAAAATTCATAAGTTTTTTTGTTTTCCTTGTGTTCCATGAGCACAGCAAAAGAAAGAATCTTAATGCGTTGCTTGCTCTATCAGCAGTATAATTCATATCTACTGTAGGAGATATTAATTTACATGGTATTCCAAATTAAAGTTTTTTAGCAAAGCTTCTGAGACATAGATTTTTAACATTTGATACTTATCTTTCATCTGTTTAAAATTAATTTTATGCTTTTTTTTTTTTAGTAGAGAAAACCGATTGTGGAAGTGATTCATTAGCAAGGTAAGTTATACGTGTTTATAAAATCTATGTGTGTCTAAGTATGGAATGGACAGATGAGAAGCAAGTATCTGTTCAGCACTATACTGTGGGAGGCACCATGCTTTATATTTAAAATACTATTGTTCATTATAATTCTGACAGTAGACATTCAAAGTACATGCTACCATGATGTTATTTTTCACTAAGGAGCCAGCTGTGACTAAGTCCCACATTCATGATTTGACTGCCATCTTGCTTGGCTCCCCCATTCATTCACTTGCTTATTCACAGGTTGTCAGAGATAGATGAGCTCTGTGTCAGATCAACTGCAGAAGTCAAATTTACAGATGAACGTCTTTAGGGTATTTTTGAGAAGTGCAACTACACCATAAAAATTTCTCTGCAAATTTTGATAACTGCAGTGCTAGTCAGCACCTTGTTCTGAGGACCAATGGTTGTCTTGTTCACCTTGCTCATGTGGATAAACTTAGAGCCATAGGAACAACTCCAGGAATGAATGTTCTTTTCTGAAAATGAAGAAGATCTGAATGCAGATTATATGATTCATATTATATTTAATACTCATTTAGAGCATACTTGGAAATTAATTTTCCTGCTTACTAATTTTTCATTTTTTGCTCCTTTAAGCCTCTATACATACTTAATCTGATGACATTTTTATTTTATGTACTCTTGTTTGTGTGTGTGATAATAACCTTTCTTTTAAATCACCTTTTCTGTTTTCCTTCTTGTTTATCTTGTTTTAAAAATTGCTGCCAGCTAAATATTCTGTTTTTCTGCAGAGAAGATTAAAAAGCATAAGATATTTCAGAATTTGAAGGGATTAAAGAACTAATAAAAATATACTCTTATACTTCATTCAGATGGAGAACTTAAAACTCAAAAGATATTAACATGACTTCTCTAGACAGAAAAAAAAATGGTGCAGATGACATTAGACTCATGTGCCTTAACATTAAGGCCAATTGTCATCTTATGTTTGATTCAATTGATGGATATTTTAATAAAATAACTGGAACATGAGCCCAGTAATTCCACTGGCACAGGATAAAAATAAAATTAAGATTGTGGAGGATAAGAATGGTGTTAATGGACAGATGATTGGGATAGAGAAAAGGACACAGGGTTCAGTAGGCTATAGTATTTAGAGAAAAGACTGGAATGCAAGAATTGTTGGCAAATTTGACAACAAGAAGACAGAAATTAAGGACACAAGATATTGGAAGTTTGTATGCCTGCACATTGAAACTGGTATCACGGACAAATCTTGATATAGATGCTGCTTAATTGTTTAATTGTAGGAATTGAAAAACATCTACATGTATGTTGAAAACATTAAGATAATTTAAGCGTCTGGGGACAGTTTCTGCAGCAGCTAGGAATATGGTGCTTTACATCACCTTAGAGCCTATCAAAGACTGGGGCATTAGAAGCTGAGGAACAAATTATACCTGTGGCTGAGACAGGTGTCTCCCTCCAGCTTTGCTGAAGAGATTGCATCCTTCCTACCTGCATGATGGGTAGGACAGTTTAGGATCCCCTGGCACCGAAGTCACCGAGGCTTTGTAGGGTTGTTAGTAAGATGGCTGTGTGGGTAGTTGAAGCTCTATTTAGCTTGGTGCTTCGAACACATCTTCACTTAAGATTTTCCTGGGCTGGAGATTATAATTTTGGAGATCGTTGTCTAGACCTGAAGAAGAGGAAGTGGAGGCCAACCAGAAGGAAATAGTTCCAGAGGACTTAGAGGAACAGGCACAACTAACAGGAGACGCTGTGTTACAGATGTCTTTCCCCTTGAGTGGGTGCTTTTGAAAGTTTTTAAGTGCCTGATTGTTTACGTGAAACCTGAAAAATGCAAGAGGACAGGAAAATAATTGGAATTTAAAATTTTGAAGGATTTAATCTTTTTTGGGAAGGTCATTCCACCAGTAAACACATAAAATTAATTTATTGGTTGACTCTTGTACAGCTTTAAAACATTTACAATTTTTTTAATGTCTATCACTGTTTATAATACAGAAGCTTTGACAGATCTCTTTAACTATACATGCCCAAAATTCACAAATACAATTACAGCTCACAGCACCTTTAGACAAAAACATATTTCAAAGAGAATAAGTATCTACCTCATACCTCTTTCCTTTTTCTTTTTTTATATCTCTTTTTTATTTTATTGATTATACTTTATACATTTTGTATCCTCCCATAAGCTCCTCCCTCCTCCCCTCCCGATCCCACCCTCCCTCCCCCTTCTTCATGCATGCCCCTCCCCAAGTCCACTGATAGGGGAGGTCCTCTTCTCCTTCCTTCTGATCTTAGTCTATCAGTTCTCATCAGAAGTGGCTGCAATGTCATCTTCTGTGGCCTGGTAAGGCTGCTCTCCCCTCAGGGGGAGGTGATCAAAGAACAGGCCAATCAGATTATGTCAGAGGCAGTCCCTCTTCCCATTACTATGTAACCCACATGGACACTAAGCTGCCATGGACTACATCTGTGCAGGGGTTCTAGGTTATCTCCATGAATAGTCCTTGGTTGGAGTATGAGACTCTGGGAAGTTCCCTGTGTTCAAATTTTCTCGTTCTGTTGCTCTCCTTGTGGGGCTCCTGTCCTCTCCAGCTCTTACTATTTCACACTTCTTACATAAAATTCCATGCACTCTGCCCAGCAGTTGGTAATCAGGCTCAGCATCTGTTTTGATAGTCTGCAGGGCAGAGCCTTTCAGAGGCTCTCTGTGGCAGGTTCCTAGGTTGTTTCCTGTTTTCTTCTTCTTCTGTTGTCCATCCTCTTTGCTTTTCAGGATGGGGTTGAGCGTTTTAGTCAGGGTCTTCTCTCTTGCTTAATTTCTTTAGATGTACAGGTTTTAGTAGGTTTATCCTATGTTGTATGTCTATATGAGTGAGTATATACCGTGTGTGTGTTTCTGCTTCTGGGACAGTTCACTCAGAATGATCCTTTCCAGGTCCCACCATTTACCTGCAAATTTCATGATTTCCTTTTTTTTTTTTTTTTATTGCTGAGTAATACTTCATTGTGTAGATGTGCCACAATTTCTGTATCCATTCTTCAGTTGAGGGACATCTGGGCTGTTTCCAGCTTCTAGGTATTACAAATAAAGCTGCTACAAACATGGTTGAGCAAATGTCCTTATTGTGTACTTGAGCCCCTTTTGGATATATGCCTAGGAGTGGTATGGCTGGATCTTGAGGAAGCTCTATTCCTAGTTGTCTGAGAAAGTGCCAGATTGCTTTCCAGAGTGGTTGTACAAGTTTACATTCCCACCGGCAGATGTTTTAAGAGACAAAGATAATGAACAGATTCTCTTAATGATTGTTTCTCAAGCTGGGAAACCAGCCTACAACTTTATATACAGCTTGGTCATAGTCTTCTTCAACCCAGGGAAAGACATGGAGAGAAAATGGTGCATCTTTTCCTCTTTTTAAGGCTACCACACTCATCTCAGCTTTTCTAGTACGAATTTTTCTAGTACTAATTTTTCAGGTCCACGGTCATTAAAGGCAATTTGTGAAGACACGTTTTTCTCAGGCTGCTACTATTTTAAATGAAGCATAAAATCAGTCCTCACTTAAGTGAAAGCTTCTGTACAGTGAGAGGGCAAATTGTGTTTACACCAATTAACACATGCCATTTCGTCTCCAAGCAGCAGAATTCGTATAAGATTTTCCAGAATTGTGCTCACCTGTCTTTACTGCATTCTTTGCTCTATAGGCTTTCCGACTGTCCCAGTCCTGAAACTCCCTTGCCTGAAATGAAGGAAGACGAGTACCACTGTGATTCCAAGGTAATGTGCTCCTCTGTGGAGTTAACTTCCTTACCCTAAGTCTGTTTTTGTTTTAAGATTTACTGTGGTCTGGATGCCATCTCAGTACTTGGGAAGTTAGTCAGCAGAAACAAGATCATGAGTAGCTGAAAACAATTGTCACTTTGGTAAACAATGAAAAGAACTAGTAACCGCTTTGAGGTCATGGGGTAATGGTTTAAAATTACAGAGCCCAAGAGAAATTGTATTAGGTTTACAGTAATAGACAGGATTTGAAATTTATTTGGATAAATGTAATTTACTGTGACTTTTAAATTATCTTAACATGACTTTTATAATGCTGAAATAAATCTTTAATAGACTCAATTTGTTATTATAGTAGCCAGTTTCCATGGTACTTTTAGTTTTGACAGTACAGGGCGTCTAGCAGTTTATTTTATAGGATATTTTTTCATTACATTTAACACTTATCTTTAAAATCGTTTTCATGTTTCTTGTCTTTTTGGTTTTGATTTTGGTTTTTCAGTATGCTGTAAACTTTTAGGAGAGTTTTTTCCCCCTATTTTTATAGTTGGTTCTGTATTTAAACTGAATTAGTATTAGAAATATGGGCATGTATACTTGCAAAATCTGCTTCTCAAAATATATGTTAAAAGGGCTATTGAGTTTTTCTAAGTTGTTCCACGAGGAGTATAAGGATCATGTGACCAGTGTGACGTGAGGGAACAGGATGGGAACCTATTACAGAGGGTCCTCTGAGAGGCTCCATCCAACAGTGGGTTGAGGCAGATGCTGAGACTCAAAGCCAAACTTTGGACAGAGCGCAGGGAGTCTTATGGAAGAAGTAGGGGGGGGTCGGAGGGTGAAGAGAAGGACATAGATGGGACAGGAGCCCCACAAGGAGACTAACAAAGCTAAAACATCTGAGCCCAGCAGTTCCTGCAGAGACTGATGAACCAACCAAGGGCTATGCATGGAGAGGACCTAGACCCTCTCCCCAGGTGTAGCCAATAGCCAGCTCAGTCTCCATGTGGGTTTCCAAGTAAGGGGAGCAGAGGCTGCCTTTGTCGTGAACTCGGTTGCCTGATCTTTGATCACTTGCCCCTGGTAATGCAGCTTTGCCAGGCCACTGATGAAGAAAATCTAGTCTGGGAAGGAGAACTCCCTCTTCCAGTGGATAGGAGGGAAAAGGGAGATACCGGGGACTGGGAGGAGTTAAGGGACAGGGCTACAATCGGGATATACAATGAATAAAGTTGTAAAAAAAGAATACAAAAAGGAAAAAAAAAAAAGAAACCGAAAATGCCCTAAAGCTGTTAATCGTATGTCTGACTTCAAGACTGATCATTTGCTATTCAATAACCAATTGGTATGTTCTTCCCTGGAGAAGACTATTTCTCCCAATCTCAGCGTTACTTGGTTGCCTGTAGCTCTTTGTGCATGCTTAAAGTTAGCATGCCATGCTGATCATTGATGTGGTTTATAGGTGTCTTATCTGGGTAGGACTCTTGGTTGCCTCCCTTTTTTGGAAACTTGCATGGCTCCTTCTGGTACCTTGAAAGCCAGTCTTCAGAGAGTGGACTTTCATTTCAGTTCCAGCTCTGGTCTTTGTTTCTGAAGTGCCTGGTGTTTTCAAGATTGGGACTTACTTTCTACCCCTTGGGGTAATCAAGGGCAATAGCAAAAGACTAGGCTTTGGGTTTCTTTTGGAAAGTCCTGGCCAACAACTCAAAAGAGGGTTTCTCATGTTTGACATTGGGGTTTTATTAGTTGGTCTTTGGATCTTGGAGGGAGCACTGTCAGCCCAATGGAGACAGATTTAAAGTTTTCATTGTAGAGGTCCTGTACTTTTTTGGTTAGGTTTTCTTTCCTAGATATTTTATTTTCGTCGAGGCTAGTGTGAATGTGTCCATTATTTTTTTTTCCTCTGTATGCTTGTTGCTGTACAGAAAAAGCTATTAATCTGTGTAAGTTGATTCTGTATCCTGTGCATTGCTGAATTTATCATTTCTGATAGAAACTTTGGGATCTCTACATGTACAATGTTGTGTTACCTGCAACTAGACATAGCTTGACTTATTTACCTTTTGTATTCCTTTAATCTCCTTCTCCTGCCTTATGGCTCCAGCTAGTGCTTTGAAAACAATATCGAAAAAGAGTTAGATTAGTGGGATGCCTTGACCCTGACTTCAGTCGTATTGCTTCAAGGTTTTCTCCATTTAGGATTATGACGACTGTGGGTTTTTCATATATAGCTTCTATTATGTTAGGGTTTGTTCTCTATAGTTCTGTATCCTCTAGGGCTTTGATCTTGGAGGCATGATATATTTTGTCGAAGGGTTATTCTGCATCTGTTGAGATGATCTTGTGATTTTTGTCTGGAAGTCCATTCATGTTGTTACTTCACTTATTGATTTGTGTATGTTGAACCATGCCTGAATTTCAGGAATAAAGCCAACGTGGCATGGTGGGTAATAGTTTTTGATGTATATCTATATTCTGTTTATAAGCATTTTGTTGAGCATTTTAAAGTCTGTGTTCATTGGGGATATTGTTTTGTAATTTTCTTTTTAAAAATTTAATCTTTATCTGGATTCATAGAAGGAGTTTGGGAATATCTTTCTTTTCTCTATTGTTTTGAATTGTTTACAAAGGATTGGCTATGAATGTTCTTTAAACATCCTCAGGTCTGGAGTACATTTAGATGAAGAATCAGGTCTTTAAGTGGTGGTGGCTGGGCTCAGAGGGTAGGAAGAGGGCAATGCTCCCTGTGGGACTCATACACTTTGCCAGGACAGGACCTCAGATAGGCCAACATTTTACCCATTTCAGAATTATTTTTAGAAATGTAGCTGCTGTGTTTTTTAGAGTTCTTGTTTTAGAAGGAAAGCATCTTTGAATTTAAAGCTGCATTTTTTTTTTTGTGAACTATCTGAGGAAGAAGAAAAACATAATTTGTGACATTATTATGGCATCTGGATCGCCAGGTATAGGCTTTCAGGGATGGCTGAAGGAAGGGACAAATGTAAATTTGGAGACTAGACATTCAGTTAGGTTTTTGATGCTCATCTAAAGATAAATCAACTAAGGAATTAAGTGCATTGAGTACTTTCATGGCATACATTCTTATAATAATAAATATAAACAATGAAAACAAAGATAACACTGAGGGAAGAGATAGAAAAGGCCATGATAAATGGAAGCAGGGTTGTAAACACAGCAGGTGAAGGCCAAGGAGCTATCAGAATCCTAGTTCTGTCATTTAGCATCTTGGCAAAACCAAATAAAAGAAAACATGTGTCAATACAAATAATGTCACTGTGACTTTAAGATGATATGATACATGTAACATTTCCATGTACCTCATGAATAAATGTTGGGGATAGGAAAAACCTCTCAGGAAATGTAAAATATGTTACTACACAATCCTGTTTCCATTCTGAGACTTAAGTGTTGAAGACATTTTTTTTTTCTTTAACCCGAGGACAATAAAATGATAGTAGTGTCAAGAACATACTTAGAAAGCACATATATTTCTAACTTGGACTGTGGCAAACTTTAGTATCTCATTTATGAATACATCCTATAGGGAGACACCAAATTGCCCCTCAAAAAGCCTTTCTGATCAATTTTTAAAAATTTTGACCTTCAATTCATCTTTGTGATTGAGTATCCATTGTGTGCTGCGCAGACATTGTCTGCTTCAGGTGAGGAGTTGTGCTACTGTTTTACAATAGGAAACAAACAGGGAACACTTCTAAGCCATCCTGGGTGCTTTATACTAATAAAATTGTTTAGGAAGCCTCTGCCCAAACGTTCCAGTTTCTAAAATCCCAAACTCCTATGAAAAGAAATAGATTTTCTAGCCATTTTTCTCCTAATTTTATTTATTACTCTGTTTGTGGTGTGTGTGCTTGTCTGTGCATATATATGTGTGTGCGTGTGTGTATGTGTGCATGTATCACAATAAGCACGTGGAGGTCAGAGGTCAACTTTTAGAGTCATTTCTTTCTTTCCACCATGTGGTGGGTTCTTTGACTCAAACTCAGGTGTCAGTCTTCCTATCAAATGCCTTGGAGACCCAAGATGGAGAAGACCAGTGCGCACCGAATCTGAGGGGCACAGGATCCGAAACTCCGAAGTTGGTGAGTGGAGGGGCAGCTGAAGCCAGAACATGGACGTTGAGGCTTCCTGGGTGCGAGGGGACGACTCGTGAACTGAGACCATTTGGATCCAGGTCACTCGTGGATGTCTCCAGGGACTGAGAGTGGAGAATATTCAACCCCCCTGCACTTCCCCCTGATGGGCCTCCCTCCTCAGGTCCGTGCTGCTCCGAGCAAGCACGGACCTCCCAGCTCTGTAACTGAGACAGCAGAGGCGGCCCTCCCAGTTCTGCAGTGGCAAGCCGGCTGTATGAGCCTCCCAGGTCCGCGGGCAGCTGTACAGGCTTCCCAGGGCCTCCCGTTCTGCAGCTGTGGCAGTTGGGTGGCAGCTAGCCCTAATAGGAGCCTTGATGCTCCCTGATTGAGACAACAGAAGTGGCTACCCGAAGTATGGGTCTCCCTGCCCAGCGGACAAATAGTGGACACCATTGAGCTGACAGATTTCCTACACTCGCGTTTGCCCCTTCAGGCCCAAATCTGAGCATAGAGAACAGGGGGAACAGTTGTGTTTTCTGATTAGGCCTGTGAGTGAGTGAGTGTACCTTCAAGTGAAAACATGCAGAGCCCCAGATCCAGGGTCCCTCTATGCCTGCATCCAGTCATCTGCTCCCTCCCACCTACATCCCCATTGTGGGCAACATGGAGATTCTTGGGACAGTGTTCTCCACATTGAAGCCCCTGTTCTGTGGGTCTTTTGACCCAGTCTGAAGTACAAACTCCAGGAACAAACAGCGAAGGTTATGGATAAGCAGATGCATAAGAACACATCCAACAAGAATCAGGACATCATGGTTTCACCAGCCACCCCCCAAATCAATGGATATTTGAATTAATAGGAAACACAGGAAAATGATTTTAAAGCTATGCTCATCCAGTTATTAGAGGCACATAAAGAGGAAACAAACAAATCTCTCCACGAAATAGCTACACAAATGGAGACAAATAAAGAGGGAACGAACAAAGCTCTCAAAGAAATACAGGTAAATACAACCAAACAAAGAGAGTCACATATAGAGGCACAATTAGTGGCATATAGAGAAGAAATGAACAAAAAAATAGAGGTCATCATGGAAAGACAGGACTCCACATTCAAACAAATGCCTTTATCCTCTGAGCCGTCTCACAGGACTCAAGCCAATGTACCTTAACACCGAAATAATTTTAGTCATCTGAAATGTTTACATGTCTACTGCTTTAATATGCCCACCATATTCATAACACTATGTTTACATATGCATACTTTAAAAATTCCTTTTCTTTTTTTTTTAATGTGGAATCTAAGATTTTAGGTAGTATAATGGTAGTTCCGCTTTGGAAATACGTCCATGAGTATCTTGCCTATGAATAATTTTCCTGTGCAATTTTGTGTCGGGTTTACAGAATTAGTAGCCATATAAAAGTTGCCACATAAAGTTGCCTGCTCTAGAGAGGCATGCATAAGATTTGGTACTGGCTGCATTGTCTTCCTCTGTGGCCTGGCAAGGCTGCACCCCTCAGGCGTGATCAGAGAGCCTGCTGCTAAGTTCATGCCAGAGACAGCCTCTGCTCCCCTTACTAGGGAATCTACGTGAAGACTGAATCTATCGGCTACATCTGAGCCTGGGTTTTAGGTCTTTTCCATACATGGTCCTTGGTTGAGGTATCAGTTTCTGTAACGCCTCCAGGGTCTACTTATTTTTGGCTCCGTTGGTATCCTTTTGGAGCTCTTGTCCTCTCCAGGTCTTTCTATCTCCCCCTTCTTTCATAACATTCCATGCATTTTTCCCGAAGTTTGGCTATAAGTCTCGTCCTCTGCTTCGATACCTGGATCAGTAGGAGGGGGCGGGCACAGCTGGGATACAAAGTGAATAAATTGTAATAAATAGTAATAATTAAAAAAGAAGAAAAATATTTGGTACTGAAGCACTGAGATTTTAAACACATTTTTGGTACAATTGCTTTAAAAATAAACAATTAACACATCTTAAAGTGATTAAAATTTTATGCAACTAATTTTAAATTAATTTTAACAGAGTGTCTCAGAGGGTGCTCCTCCTAACTGTGCTGGGAATTCGTCGTTGGCTTCAGACAAAGTATTTGAAAACAGAGGAAAAAGAACAGTGGAAGGTATACTCTCTACTTGGTAAAAGTGTCATTTTGTAGAATGTGTTTTATAACATGAGCACTGGGAATCTAATAACAAAGATACAATTTCCTTTTAATGGACAGTAACAAAGGAGAGTATGAAGCCAATGAGTTGAGTGTCATCTTAGCTTTCTGAAGTATGTTAAGCTGAAAATGGCACTTAAAGGCACTAAGTTAGGATGACCATTCCAAGATAAGGTTATAATCAATGGCCACATGTATATAAGGAGTGGGGATGAATACAGAGAGTGAATGATAACAAGGCAGGAGAAACAGGGAGCCAATGAAGGAAAAGCAATCAAATGTGTTATTGGACAGCGGGAAAAGAAAGTAATCCCTCAGAATAAAAAAGAGACAGGGTATCAGACACATGAGGAAAATTTATGAAGTGATTTTCTGGTAGTAGAACTGGTTTGAGAAGTAGGAAAACTTTTCCCCACTCTGTCTGTCTTCCTCACTGTCGGAAAGACTTCAGTGATTGATGTACCCAACCATTAGAAGGTGAGTCTGATATACACGGCTGAATACAACACCACGTGAGCAGTCGTACATACGTGGGACACAATGTCAAGTGAAAAGTCACTACTTCAGTGCATAGTATTACACAGGACAGAATTAAACATGGAAAGAAGGACAGTGAGGGCCAGGTTACAGGAAATTCAGAAAATCCATTGCCAGGCATGATGGGGAGGAAATACAGGTTGGATTAAAAGATACAAGTTGAAGCAAAGGGCTATGGAGGTTGAGTTCACAGAATCCACACACTTTACAGAACCACAGGGAAGCTGTTAAACATCTCCAAGGTGGTTCAGGGCATCAGGGACTCTGAATTTGCAGTAGGTTCTTAGTCACCTGTTCAGTAGCAGGACCAGACCGCTTCTTAGCAAAATATAGACAAAATGCTATTGGGTAAATCACAGTGATGCAATAAAATTAGGACATAATGAATTTACTTTTGTTTCAACTTATGTTTACAGAAAACAAAGGTAGAAAGAGACAGAAATTATAATCCTGAAATGATTCTGTTAAATAGGAAATTCATGCTAAGAGTAATTGACAGAAAGAATGAAAAGTAGAAAGTATGAAGATCAGCGATTACCTTTGTTAAGAAGAGGGAGGACCCTCTTGGACACTAAACTGCCATGGGGTATATCTGTCCAGGGGTTCTAGGTTATTTCCATGCCTGGTACTTGGTTGGAATATGAGTCTCTGGGAAGACCCCTGTGTTCAAATTTTCTGGTTCTGTTGCTCTCCTTGTGGGATTTCTGTCCTCTCCAGATCTTACTATTTCCCACTTCTTACATAAGATTCCATGCACTCTGCCCAACAGTTGGCCATAAGTCTCAGCATCTGCTTTGATAGTCTACAGGGCAGAGCCTTTCAGAGGCCTTTTGTGGCAGGTTTCTAGGTTGTTTCCTGTTTTCTTCTTCTGATGTCCATTCTCTTTGCCTTTTGGGATGGGAATTGAGCATTTTAGTCAGGGTCCTCTTACATAGTAAAGGGAAGAGGGACTGCCTCTGACATGAACTGATTGGCCTGCTCTTTGATCACCTCCCCCTGAGGGGGGAGCAGCCTTAGCAGGCCACAGAAGATGACAATGCATCACTCCAGATGAGATCTGATAGACTAAGATCAGAAGGAAGAAGAGGAGGACCTCCCCTATCAGTGGACTTGGGAAGGGACATGGGTGAAGAAGGGGGAGTGGAGGGTGGGACCGGGAGGGGAGGAGGGAGAGGCTTATGGGGGGATACAAAGTGAATAAAGTATAATTAATAAAATAAAATAAAATTTAAAAAAATCATAAAAAAAGAAGAGGGAGGACTGAGCACAAAGCTCAGTCAGCAGAGTGCTTGCCTGGAATTCAGGAGGCCTATGTCCCCAGCACCTCTTAAAATGGGCGTGGCCTCTCAGAGCACATGGATAGAGGCAGGAGAACCAGAAGTTTATGTCTGCGACATACTGAGGTCAACGCCAGCCTTAGATACAGGAAAAGTCAGCTCAAGCAAAGAAACAAATGGGAAAGGAAGAGTGTTTGTTTTCGTTTTTAGCTGAAAGAGCAAGAATAATTCTGGAAAATACTGAATCAATTAGGGAATGTACGCATACCTAGCTCAGATGACTTCAATGTATGTGTATTCAAACCAAAGATAAAGTCATGTTGTTGCTTGGAAAAGTGATGGGTCGAAGGAATGCTAAAATTTAGTAAGATGCAGTCACTCTCACCTCTCTGTAATTACTAGACACAGAAGATGTAGATTGAATGGGCAATGTTACCGATAATAATAAATGATTGAATACAGAAGAATATGTTATTCAAAAATTTAACTTATTTTTATTTTTCAGTTACTTATTTACCTTCTAAAGAGTTATTATTTGTTTATGTGTATGTGCGTATCTGTGTGAGTGGAAGTACCATGGAAGCAAGAAAAGGGCTTTGAGTTCACCAGAAGTGGAGTTACAGATGGTTCTGAGACACCGTGTGGGTGGTGGGAATTGAGCTCAGGTTCCCTGCAAGAGTGGCTAGTGTTCTTCTTAACCGTGGAGTCATCTCTCCAGCCCTAAAATTATTTTAAATTCCAGAGATACGATAATGTATTTAATCACAACATTTTCACAGAACCTTTTTCCTTTGTTCATATTGGTTCCCCATTAATAATCTCTCGTCCTGCCCCACCCCCTTCTCATGTGCAGTTCTCTGAGAATAATACCTTCTCTACTTTATACAGTTTATACATATAGAAGTCTAGATGCTACACAGGAGATAAAACATGCAACATTTGTCCTTCTGAATGTGTCTTACTTCATGAACGTTAGCTGTCCTTCAAATGGTAACAGACCCTACAATTCTAATCTGGGAAATGACGAACATTATAGGTTTATTTGTGTCATACCAAAATTGCTATTTTCATTAATTTTGCACCAATTCAGAAGTGCTTTTAACCACTGAGCCATGTCTTCAACATCAGGAGTATATTTTTCAGTTGTTGTGCTGTCAAGACCTGTAAAAATCTTCCAAATATTCAAACCACAGAGTAACAATTGAAAAGCTAAAAATGAGACTTTAATTCCATCCTAACTGTTTATGAGCATATGACTGGTATTGTATTGACTTAGAAATGATCATATTTTCCCTTGCTTTATAGCATGGGCTGAAGAAGAGCTATCTTTAAAGGTAATAAGCTTTTTGTTTTATCATGAATTATTAAGTATGTATTATGTGATATACATATGATTCAAATATTCTACTTTTAAAACCTATTTAGTCTGCCACTGACGTAAGCGAGTCTGTTCCAAATGAAGCAGTAGAAAGGATAGAGATATTGCCACCGACCCCAGGTACACATTGTAAACTGATCGTTTTGATAGAAACGTTTGAAAAGCTTGTCGATTTCTTTATCTTAATTTTGTTTTTTTCCCCAAGTTGATTTGGCACAAATAATATGAATGTTATGCTAGCACTTATGTTTTGAAAAAGAGAATTTATGAGTGCAAGATCTTTTAAATCTTTTAGACGTAAGTTCAAAAGGACGCTTCTGCTTTTGTATTTCAGTATCCCAAACTTCCAGTGTGAAATCTTTGTCATAGGGGTTTACATATGTTTCCCCTAGAAAGTCCTGTATCTGCCCCATCATACTTCATATTTGTCAAATCACCTATTAACTCTAGAAAATCCATCCCCAATATTTTATTTCCATTCTGCAAAACCTTATGCTATTTCCTATAAGAGTACAAAAATAATTATTGAATAAAATCAAGAAAAACTAATTATAGAAGAATGATGTAAAAAACTGGCAGCTCTAGTGCAGGGGTGAAAGGGAGTGACTTGGGAAGTAGATGACTTTATACGCAAATTTTTAGGATGTTCCTATGTGTTGAGTGAGCATGGTGCCTTCTGCTACTTACATTTGAGTGAATGATTGACAGTTTAGATAACTAGAGATACTTCGCTCACTATAGACGTCATTAAAGTTCTTAACAGGAAAGTAACAACAACACAGTGTTAGCCACTCCGATTACCCTACAGACTATTGCTTTACATGAGTGCTCTGCAATTTAATCAAATAAATGTATTTGCCAACAGAACCAGAGCTAGAACTGATGTCAGTAGAAGACGACGTATCTGATGAAAGTCAAAATATTCAACCACTGGTATGAAGATATTTAATTTTAAATATCACATAATAGGTCCCAGTTTCCTCTCTTCATCCGCTTCTGCTGTCTATTCTATTTCCCCTACTGAGTGACATTCTGGCACCATCCCTTGGGGCCTCCTTGTTACTTAGCTTCTTTGGCTTGTAGTATGGTTATCCCATATAGGTCTAATATCTACTTATAAGTGAGTACATAGGATGTGTGCCTTTCTGGACCTGGGTTAACTCATTCAGGATGATCTTTTCTAGTTCCATCCATTTGCCTGCAAATTTCATTATTTCCTTATTTTTAATAGTGGAGTAGCATTCCATTGTGTAAATGTACCACAAGTTCTTCAGTTGGGGGACATCTAGGTTGTTTCCAGATTCTGGCTATTACGAATAAAACTGCTATGAACATGGTTGAACATACATCTGTGTTGTATTGTGGAGTACCTTTTGGGTGTATTCCCAAGAGTGGTATAGCTAGGCCTAGTCCCCATTTTCTGAGAAAGAGCCATATTGATTTCCAAAGTGGTTGTACAAGTTTGCACTCCTATCAGCAATGGGGGAGAGTTCCCCTTTCTCCACCTCCTCTCCAGCATGGATGTCTTGTTTTCTTCATCTATGGTGACTAAAAGTTCTGCAGGGTAGAGTAGTTGGGGCTGACATCTATGGTCCCTTAGTGGCTGCCCAAGCCCTTCTAGCATTTAGAGTTTTGGGTGAGAAGTCAGGTGTAGGTCTGCCTTTTTATGTGAGTTGGCCTTTTTCCCTTGTAGCTTTTAATATTCTTTCTTCTGTACATTTAGTGTTTTGATTATGTGACAGGAAGTTTTTCTTTTCTGGTCCAATCTGGTGTTCCGTAGGCTTCTTGTATGTTTATAGGCATCTCTTTCTTTAGATTGGGGAAGTTTCTTCTATGATTTTGTTGAAAATATTTTCTGGGCCTTAGAGCTTGGGATATTTTTCTTCTTCTATTCCTACTATTCTTAGGTTTGGTCTTTTCATATTGTGTCAGATTTCTTGGATGTTTGTGTCAGGAACTTTTTAACATTGATTTCTTCAATAGTATGTTCTATACTTGAGATTCTCTCTTCCATGTATTCTGTTGGTGATGCTTTTGTCTGTAGTTCCTGTTCACTTTCATGGGTTTTCCATCTTGAGGATTGCCTCAGATTGTGTTTTCTTTATTGTTTTTATTTCCATTTTTAGGTCATGGACAGTTTTATTCATTTCCTTCTCCAGTTTGGATGTATATTCCTTATTTCTTTAAGGGATTTATTCAATTCCTTCACCTTTTTGATTGTATTTTTCTATATTTGTTTATGGGATTTTTTTCAATTCCTTCATCTGTTTGACTGTATTTTCCTGCATTTCCTTGAGAGATTTATTTATTCTTTTAAGACCTCTATCATTTTCATAACCTCATATTTAAAATCACTTTCTTATGCTTCTGGTGTGATAGTATCCTCAGGGTTGGATAGCTGGGTCTTGGTAGTGTCATATGGCCCTGGGTTTTTGTTGCTTGTGTTCTTGCACTGACCTCTAGCTATTTGATTGACTCTGTTTTTAGTAGGCGTGGTGGTCTCTGATGGTAGTAGGTCTCTGGGGTTGTAGGTAGAGCTGGTGGTCCCAGATGGCTGCAGTCCTCTGGATTTCCTGCTGCTCCCTAATCCTTGCTGGTCTGCTTCTCCCTGATCTGTGCCGTCTCCCAGGATGCAGATTGGGGTGGGTCCCAGGAAATGGCACAGGCCCGGGAACTGGGTTGTGTGGAGCGCAGAGGGCCCTTGGCAGACTTTGCTGCTGTTGCTGGCAGGCTATGGCAGGCCAGGGACTGGGAAAGGGTTTCACTTGCTGCTCCCCGATCTATGCTAGTCCCCAGGACCACAGATCACGCTGGTTAGTAACTTTCATAACGTTTGTGCCATGATTATACTCGTGAGCACGTACTGCCAGGTCAGCCATTATTGTAGCTTTGAGTGTTCACAGTTGGGTAACTGTTTTTTTTTTTTTTTTTTTTTTTTTTTTCTACAAGCATGCATAGCACCCTCCAGAGCAATGGGAATTGGGTAATAGGGATCAAACCTTCTGGCTCAGTATTAGCTTGATTTCATATTCTATAACTCAAGTACACAACATCTTCAGTACTAGGGTCTTATTCTCAAATTATGGAAGGTAATCAAGAGCATGCCTGTATTGTTTGACATCTGTGGGGACTCACTAGCCTGGATTTTTTATTATTTACTCTCTGGAGTCTAGTAGTGATATCGCTAGACCTTGCTACAGGATTATCTATCTATCTATCTATCTATCTATCTATCTATCTATCTATCTATCTATCTATCTGTCTGTCTGTCTGTCTGTCTGTCTGTCTGTCTGTCTGTCTGTCTGTCTGTCTGTCTATCTACCTACCTATCTGTCATCTTATCTATCCATCCATCTGGAAACTTCTATGCCAGAAGGTTTCTATCTGGCCCTTTTTTCCAGGATATCAAGTCTTACTTTGAGGTCTGTGATCCATTTGGAATTGAGTTTTGTGAAGGATGAGAGATAAGGGTTAAATTTCATCCTTCTGCATGTATTCATTGAGTTTGACCTGCACCATTTGTTGAAGATACTGTCTTTTCTCCAATATTATTGTTGACCTCTTTGTTAAAAATCATGTGATTGTAGGAATATGGACTTTTTAAAATTAATTTTTATTTTTTTTATTAGTTACAATTTATTTACTTTATATCTCAGCTGTAGCCCCCTCCCTCAAAATCACGCTCCCTATCTCATCTCCTCCCTGCCCCTCTCTAAGTACACTGCCCCTTCCATCTGATCCTAGTTTATCAGGTCTCTTCAGGACTGGCTGCAATGTCCACCTCTGTGGCCTAGCAAGGCTACTCCTCCCTCAGGGGGGAGGAGGTCATAGAGTGAGCCTTTGAGTTCATGTCAGAGACAGTCCCTGTTCCCCTAACTAGATACTTGAATACTGATCTGCCATGGGCTACATCTGAGGGGTTCTAGGTTATATCTGTGCATGGCCCTTGGTTGGAGAAACAGTCTCAGAAAAGACCCCTGTGCCCGATGTAGTTGGTCCTTGTGGAGCTCTTGTTTTCTCCAGGTCATACTAACTCCCCCTTCTTTTGTATGATTCCCTGCACTCTGCCCAAGGCTTGGTTAGGAATATGGACTTATGTGTTGGTTCTCAATTCTATTCCATTAATCAATGAGTCTGTTTTTCATTCCAGTACTGTGTTCTTTTTAGTATTACAGCTTCATAGCAGAATTTAAAATCTGGGGTGATGCTACCTCCTACTATTTTTATGTTCAAGATATTTTTAAATCCTAGATATTTTTTATTTTCATATGAAATTTAAGAAAACATTTTCAACTTTTGTGAAGAATTGTGTTGAAATCCAGATAAAGCTTATGTTCAATCTATAGATTGTTTTTGGTAAGATGGTCATTTTTACAACATTAATCCTACCAATCCATGAACATGGGAAGTCTTTCTATCTTCTGATAATTTGTTCAATTCATTTTTCAGTAATTTGAAGATTTTATTTTTTTTAACTTCCTCAGTTAAACTTATTTATATATATATGTATAATGCTATTGTGAATGATATCATTTCCTTGATTAAATTTTTTGAAATTATAATTACATTTTCCCTTCCCTTTTCTTCAAGCCCTCTTATATATTCTCGCCTTACTCTCTTTTGAATTTATTTTATTTTTTCACATTTCTGAATTTTTTCCATTAATTAATTTATTCACTTTACAACTTGATTGCAGACCCCCTCCCCCTTCTCCTGCAAGTCCCACCCTCACACCTCTGTGTCTCCCTGGCTCCCTCTTTCCTTCTCCTCAGAGAAAGGAGGTTAACACACTCCATGGGTGCTAACCTGCCCTGACACATTAAGTCACATCAGGACTAAGTGCATTTTCTTCCACTGAGGCCCAAGACAGCAGTCCAGCCAGGGGAAAGGGATGCAAAGGCAGGCAACAAAGTCGGAGACAGCCCCCGCTCCAATTGTTAGGGGACCCACATGACGACCAAGCTGTACATCTGTTTCATACTTGTAGGGAGTCTAGGTCCAGCCCATACATGTTTCTTAGTCTGCCATATATAGGAAGACTGTTGCTTTTTAATATATTTTATCTTTTATGTATATTAATTTTGTGACTTTGCAGAATGTATTTGTCAGCTGTAGAAGTTTTCTTGTGGAGTCTTTGGGTTCTTTAGATGACGGATAAGACCATATCATCTGCAAATAAAGAAATATTTCTTTTTAAATTTAAATTTCACATTGTTTTTAGGACTTCTTACATTATCTTATGACATTTATATCACTTTTAGCTCTCCTTCTACCCCATCTAACTACTCTTGTGCCCCTCATACTTCTGCTCATATCCATGCCTCCTCTTCTTTAATTTTTATTGTTATATTTATACATATGTATATATATGCATAATATATATATGTATATATACACATAGCCTTACATTCCTGTTCTCAGTAAGGCTTGCTATGTTTCTTGGAATTTCTTCATTCTGAAAGAGTTGAATGTTACATCTTCATCCTACTATTTAAATATAACATAAAGAAAAATTTTCTAACTTATTATTTATTTAAGCATTTTTTTTCTACCAGTAAACATTTTACATAAAAACATGTATGGTTTAAGAATTGTTTACCCATACCAAATAGCTTCTTCAGTGTTTTGTTTATGCCCAACATGATAAGTTATGAATTCTCTTTATGGAAAATATGTTCTTCTGCCTTTATGACAATTTATATCATTGGAAAAATGTTCTAAATGTTAAATGTTGTACTATGGCAAGTGATTTTTCTCAAATAAAAAATTTTCTAAGTATGTCTTCTTGAGATTTCTCTTTTTTTGTGGGGATACAAAGTAGAGTTAGGATCATTTTTATTGCAATATGCAGGCGAGCCACTATTGCATATACACATTTGTTTCTTTTGGCCTTACATGATCTGTTTACATAGCAGCAGTATAACAGAAAAAGATTAAATTGATATAAAAAGCATAGAAAACATTCCAATCAAATGTTTTACTATCCTACTTTTATTTTCTAGTTAATCACGTTTGAAGTTGGAAATTAGATTTCTTCTCAGAAATCTGAGGAGAAGGCAACTAGGAGATATTTATCTAACTTGTTATGATACTTATTTTATCAGAGCACGTTGGAGCATCTTCTACAGACAAATGTTAGCCATGTATCTGGTGTAGGATATCAAATGGAAAAAAATAATATAAGTGGACAAATGAAAGGTAAGAATAGCATTTTACTAAAAAAATTATGTGATTCAAAACAGGTGACTTATTTATTCAAAGCAGGTGACTTCCACATGATACTAAAATATTACTTATTAAGTATATAGAAAAAATAAGCTTAAATAACAAGCCGAATAACTTAGCAACAAACTGAATTGATAGTGTTACTAAAAGATATGGATTGTGAGTTACATTACAGGATTTTCTAGTACCCAAAGAACTCTGATATTAAGGAAAAGGATGAAAGTGGAATGAAGAACAAGAAAAGTAGTGAGTACAGGGAGTGAGTGATGGAAATTGGGCTTTGTACACAGGAGAAAAGAGGGAGTTTTGAGATTACTTTAGCTAAAGCGTGGAACGGTATCATAAATGTGGAGCTTCCAGTGCCTAAACATGTTTAAGAAGTAGAATATTGGCCTGCTCTTTAATCAGCTCCTCCTGAGGGGAGAGCAGCCTTACCAGGCCACAGAAGAAGACACTGCAACCACTCCTGAGGAGACCTAATCGACTAGGATCAGAAGGAAGGAAAAGAAGACCTCTCCCATCAGTGGACTTGGGGAGGGGGCATGCGTGCAGAAAGGGGGAGGAAGGGAGAACCACAGGGGGGATACAAAGTCAATAAAGTGTAATTAATTAAAAAAAATTTAAAAAAGAAGTAAAAGAAAATGTCCCTGTACTTGCTTTCATCACCAAAGGCATTATGTACCCCATCAAGCAAAACTACGCTTTGTGTAGTGAACCATTGATAAATAAAGTTAGTGTCAGGTTAGACATCTACATAAAAGTTTAATACTGTGTGCTGTACCGCATCTTCACAGGGGTAGCTAAGTATACAACAAAATAACAGAATCAGAAAGAAAAGCACAGGATTACTAATGGAAAGATTAGGGAACTGAAAGACAAAGTCCAAAGGTAGCACATGATTGTGCATGCTGTTTTGATTGGGGAGACTGGGAAAGAGAAACTTTAGGTCTAGAAAGGTAAGTTAGGAAAAGTCATTGAGAAGATTCATACTTCATAGAAATTCTTAAGTTTTAGCACTTACCCTGGACACCGTGTTACAAATACACCCTGCACCTCAGCGTCTCCGGGGCTCGGTGTTTCTAATATGATCTAGGAGATGCAGGCACTGGGGTTCCCTCCACATTCTGAAGAGAGAAATTACAGACCCATTTTTTTTTAATACACAAAACAACTGAACGATATTTAGAAACAAAACTGGACAAAAGGAGACCATGTGTTTTGCTTTTATTTCTGATCATGTTTCTAGCCAGAGGGAAAGGAGCAAACAGATAAAGAAACAAAAAGTGTAATACTATTGAGTTCTGTATGGCTCCAGAATATTAAATTTGTAATTCCTAGATACTTTTGGTAAATGGAGAAAAAGGAAGCAGTTCTAATAATCCATAAAGTACTGTAAAACCTGAAGACTCGTATCTACAGATCTACAGAATATTTTCAAAAGAAGATGGTCTAGTTAGAGAAGAGAAGAGAGACACTGACTACAAGACCTTGAAGGGCACACTAGGGAGTCTTCAGATAACTCACTTCACTTGGCTCCTGCACACTTACTGTTGAAAACAAAGGCACCATCTTTGTTTCATTACTGTTGTGTAAGCTTGTGGAAGCAAAGGAAAATGGAGATGGTAGATCAGAGCAAATGTCAGCCAGTTACTTCTCATAACTTTCAAGCTTCAAAATAGGTTGAATTGACCTTAGGTGGACAAGCGAAATTAATTTGAACACAGTAGCATTCTTTTCTTGTATGAGAAACAACATCATATGGTTGTTTCATGGAAGTTCTTTGAGCACCAATGTGATATGCCAAAATAATGTACTTTTGGAGACACTGACTTTAGAGAGTTCATTCCTTCAATAAAGTCTTGCACATTATGCTGTACCTGTGATTCATATTATTTCTTATATTAGTGAATCAAGCAGCATTAGGATCTCTAAACTAAAATGTAAAAATACAAATACAACTGACAACAGCAGTGTCAGGAAAAAGTGTAGGAAAAACAGGGTAGGAAAAAGAGGATGTTGTACATTTTATTTTTTGAAAGTACTTCTCCATGAGAAGTAACCACTAGTGTGTCCTTCCTAACTTAAGGCACAAATTAAGCAAGACAAAAAAAACAAAACAAAACAAAACAAAACAAAGCAAAACAAAGCAAAACAAACTTGGTGACAGTGTTTTAGTGAAGTACATGGTGTCTCACTCTCCCAACATCTTTGCCAGTTAAATGTCCTCAGAGTGATGCTTTGCTTCTTTGACTAGAGGTCATTTTTCTCTGCATCCATCACCCTGCTCAGCACAGTGGCACCTGTGCCTGTTCTGCTTCTGGCCCAGTCATTGGAGTCATAATCTCCTTTGAAAATATTTATTGAAAGCTATTGTCTTAGTTTTATTCACAATATATTTTTTTCCATATTGCTGCCCCAATCAGAAAACAAGACAACAAGCTGAAAGTTGCCCAACTCCCAAACCCGTTGTAAGCATTGTAAAGGAAAAAGAGAGTACTCAATTTGGAAAGCACTGTGTGTGAGTGTGTGGATGACTTCCAGATACTTAGTATTTACTGATGTCCATTTGGCGTTTTAGAGTCTGATGAAGAACATGCTCAATTGATGGTAATCACTATTGTGCTTTATCCTGGACGATGGGCATCACTGTTGTCTGTGAGTATGCAATGTTTATTAGGTGTCCTCTTTCAAAACCCAACCAGACTCCTATTGAAATGAGAGACACTGTTTCCAAAGAAGCGCAGACAGCAAAGGATGCACCCGCCTTCAAATCAGGTAAGGCATGCAATGAAATTACCTCATAATTTCCTCATTCCTACTTTCAAAAATCCAGATAAATTTAATCATTGATTCTATCTAGATATTTCTGAGGTCATTGTTGGCATAGATAAATGGAAAATAGGGGCATTTTCAGGGCTAGAAAATTACATTGGAAATGTATGCTTTAAATCAGGCATGTCTTCTTTCTTGGGTCATCCCATAAGGTTTGCCTCAATGAATAGCTATAATCATTAGGGATTTATGGAGAGTAATTGGGAAAGTCTAAATTTTTTCTCCAAGTCTAAAATAGTAGTTGGGTGGCTGAGTGAATTGCAATATGCCTGTTGATTCACTTAGCAAGCTGGAAAACAAGAGCCTTCCTTTAATCCACAATTTCAAGAGCCTTGTAAGCAATGTCGTAATAAATTACATCTATAAATAATGTTCATTTTATTGTAATTGGGAAGTTCATGGATTACATGCATCTAGATGTGTTTTAAATTGCATATTTGTTATTTCCATGACATCAATCTATTTTTACACTTTTATTTTTTATATTAATTACAGATTATTCTCTTTGTCTCCCAGCTGTAGCCCCCTCCTTCCTCCCCTCCCAATCCCACTCTTCCTCCTTCTTCTCCTCCCATACCCCTCCCCAAGTCCACTGATAGGGGAGGTCCTCCTTCCCTTCCATCTGAACCTAGCCTATAAGGTCTCAGCCATTAATCTATTATGGCAATCAGGTATACTATAGTGTGATATGACATATCTTGTACTTTCATTTTCTCCTAACATTAAGATTGTGTTTTACAGACTTCAGTTGCTCTGTGGAGGCACCAAGCTCTACACACAACATCACATACCCATACAATTGCTTCACAAATGCTAGTCACATAATTTACCAAGGAACCAATACCCTACTATGATGTCATTGCTTTCAAAACAAAAACAACAACCTAGGGCTCTGAACCCAGAAAGATGTGCACCAGAGAAATGGCAAACACATGTAACTAACTCACTTCTTAGTTTTCTCAAATGATAAGAGTCATTTCTCCAAGGATACAAACTTACTTATATGTTTATTCATTTAATAAAATATGTTCTGAACCAGACACTCATAATTTCATAACCTAAATATTTCTATACACATTCTACCAATTATGGTCTGAATAGTTCCAGTAGCTTCTTGTAAAATATCTTCCTCTGGAAAGGAGCTCCACAAGAAGGCCAACAGAGCCAACATATCTGGGCCCAAGGGGTTCTGTGGAAACTGACACACCAACCAAGGACAATGCGTGGAGAGAACCTACGGCTCTGCTCAGATGTAGCCAATAGACAGCTCAGTCTCCATGTGGGTGTCCTAGTAAGGGGAGCAGCAGTTGTCTCTGACATGGACTCTATTGCCTGCTTCTCAGATCACTTCCCCCTGGTGGGTCGGCCTTGCCAGGCCACAGAGGAAGAGAACTGCAGACAGGCCTGATGAGACCTGATAGGCTAGGGTCAGTTGGTAGAGGAGGAGGGCTCTCTCCCTTTTCTGAGGTCTAGGGGAGAGGTATGGGGGGAGGAGAGGAGGAGAGGGTGGGATTGGGATGAGATGAGGGAGGGGGCTTCGATCGAGATGTAAAGTGAATAAATTCAAAAAATTTAAATTAAATAAAAAAAAATCTTCGTCTATTTATGCACACACTGTGGGCATTCATCCTCCAGCGAGCTTGATGACTTTTAACATGCCAACATTTTGAAATGAAAATGTTGAACCTTCTTAAAATTATGGAGAAGGCTTTCATGACTTGTTTCCAGTGTTGTGTCCTTAACACACCCTTCAGTCTCCCCTTTCCTGTGAAATGACAAGGTTGCTGGTGTTATTCTTTCTAACAGTTTGCTTTCAGATAGATCCCTATTAAATAACTTTGTTACACAATCTTGTTACTTCATTTTTATGTACTTGCACTTTCTTGACTGATGTCTGAGTAACTCCATATTTTAAGTATCAAAAAGTAATTATGTTTAGAAAAAGCCATCTATATATCCATTATTTTCATTCTTTTATGCACAGTGCCAGCAGAAGAATACAATGAACAACTATTGAGTAAATTGAACTAAAGGCTGCTTATACCAGAATGGCTTAAAAGATTGTTCCCTCTAGAGTAGCTGTAAAGGAATAAACATTTAAATAAATAAATTTAAGGTCTAGCAATAAAAATAAAGTTGAAAAATCAATAAAACATCCAGATAGATCCAAGAAAAGAATTATCTGCTTATGTAGCGAGTCAGAACTCAATTCTTTATATGGTAAACTAAGTATTAAAGGTTGAAACAAAAC